AGAATCAGTACTAGTGAATATAACCAGTAAAAGAAGAATCTTCCACTGTATGGATGTGATATATGGTCCTCGAGAAACTCATTCTTTTCGAGAAAGTTATAGTTTTCCAAGCCCGTACTTTGAGGGTGGTAGAAAAATAAATATTAAAGAGGTGCTATCATTCATTGAAGGACAAAATAAAAACCTTCTGGAACATTTCAGATGCCACCAATCAATGTGACAGTATCTGTAGAAGGTACGACATCAAACAAAATGTTTTATGACATGGATTCAAATATGACCTTTGAAGCATTTGGACATTCGATAAAAAAACGTTTTGAGGTCGAGATGAAGCAAATGAAACTCGATTTGAACAATTATAATTTAAAAACTGTAGAGGAAAATCCAGATGACGAAATTGACGTTGATAAGGAGTATTTTGAGACAGCCAAACCACTCTCAGCCTTTGCAGAAAAGTTAAAGTCATCGACATCGCCAAATAACAGTGTTGAACCAGCTAACCAAAACAAACCGAAATTGAAATTTCGACTAGTGTTAAAAGTGAAGACATTGAACGCACAACAACAATTTAGCCCTCAACCTTTGAATGCGACAGGTACCAAAAAGAACATGAAAGATAGCATCGAGCCATTGCACAACTTCGATGATTGTGCAGAATATAGGAACAAACAGCGAAGTTGGTTTTTACAGTTCGTCTGCAAAGTTCGTGGGTTCATTCCTAGCTTCGTGCAAGCATTGATTTTGTGTTTTGATAGTGTAAATGTCAGAATGATATAATGAGAATGTATATTCTCGATTTCATTCTGGTTTAAGATTAAAGCTTAAACCAAAAAGAACAATCCGAGCACTAATAATGTAAGAATTAGTGTATACTGAATGAGGATGGATCTTCTTTGATTATTGCTATGAATTGTTTCTTCATTGACAGTAGTTGTAGGGCGACCTGAACGAGGAGCATCTTTCACACTGAAATTGCTCCGTTGAAATTCATGAAAATGCATGAACTTTCTACACATATAAAGTCGGAGTTCGAAAGTCTCAAAGGAAACAGTTGTACTACTAAATCAAAAGAAATTCAAAATACAACAACAAACAAGACTTACAAGTCTTCAATTTGGCACATAATCTTAAATATGTCTAAATATTAATATTACATTAGAATAGTTTCAGTCAGATTTCAGCTTTTAGCAGACCCGGCTGAAAGACTTTTTGGAGCGCCCCATGTATTATACAAATACAAGGGAACAATAATCAATTCAGATGGTTCTCACAATATATATTAATGTTTCATGTCTCTTTATATTTAATTTAGGAATGATTATATCAACAGAACAACCCTATACGATTACTCATGCTCGCGATAAATTATCATCTGAAGAAAATACAAATCCAAAGTCAGCTGGGAGTGATGAATTTAGCGATTGGGAAGAATGTGACGGTAACAGCCAGAGTAACTTAATTTGATTTTCTTTAAAAGCCACAGCGCTAGTATTGCAGTTTTCAGATTTAATTTATGATCTTTTAATTTCGCTAATTTTTTAAGAGTTTAGCGGTGGTCGTTGAGAATCTGATTGTGTTCCAATAACCTACAGTTTCTAACTATCTAAGCGTTTGCTTTAGAATACAGCAGATTGTTATCGAATTGAATACGACCGCTTTAAGAATCATTGCGTTGATAAAACGCATTCTGTCTTATAACCACTTGTTTTCGTATTTAGATGATAATCTGAAGAAATTGTATAACTCATTGTTCGAAGATAACGGCGAAATGACAGACCTAGGTATCTTCAGTTTTCTATATGATACAAAAACAAATATATTGTTTTATTTACTTTAGGAAGTCAAGAGTTGGAAGATTCATTGCAACAATCAAGTATTATGAATAGTAAATAATATCATCACTAAATAAATCATCAGAACTCTTTTTATACATATGTGATTTGTTTTCAGATGAGAAACTTGTTTTTGTTAAAAATGTTCGTCCTTATCAAAAAGAGCAATACAGAACAGACATATTCCCTCTACGGATAAGTGCTAAGAGGTAAATACTTTATAAATTACTGATTCTTTCTTCGCTTTGTTTTGCTCTAGACATTGTCCAAAAGAAACAACAACAAAAGTAGTTCGAAGACCTCGACAAAGACAAAGTCGGACAGTTGGCGCCGCTCAACCAAAACGCAAGTATCCGACGTTTCTTCAAGGTGATAAAAAAGCCCATGTCAGACGTGGTGTTTACCCCAAACTCAGAGTAAGTACAAAATGGAACCTTCTAGGAGATTTGCCTCAGTGCCTCGTCCTCTGATACGGATATATTTTTTTATACAGATTCCACAACATTATAAAAATCAAATTCAAAATGGTAAAGAAATTATACTATATGTGGCTGCTACAGTTGCGGATGGGAGCTGTAAACGTTATATTCATCCATCAAAAGGGTTTTTGACTCATCGAACAAATCCTAATAGTCCACTTGAAAATCCAGCAAAAATTATTTTAGTAAAAGAAATATTAGATAATGGACAGGTGATGTAAGGCATGTAGATCGGTGTCAATGATCAAAATTTATAAATACTGTTTTTAGTCTAAAACTTCCGTTGTTGACCATTGCTGGAGCGCTGCATAAACTTAACGACCCTCTGGTACAATTTGATAAGAATTTTGATTTTAACAACAGAGAGATGAACAACAAAAAACAAACTATCACAGGTTTGGTGGGTATCAATCAATTGATTGCTCTTTAGAAGTAGTTGCTTTGTTTATTAACAGCCGAAATAACTGAAACTCAGCAGTCTACAGTTTCATTAACGCAACAAACAACCACACCCATACTTACACATTATAGATTGGCTTGTCTTCTCAGTGATGGTGAAAATGAAGACTGGAACACGTTATGTGAATCAGAAGAAATGTCAAAAAGTATGTGTCAAAAGTGAAATCAATTAAGGGTATTCCTCTTCTCAGAAAAAATTTCGATTTTGAGTTGAGCGTAGCCTAATGTAGAGGAAAGTCTGGGCTGCAAAACGGAATCACTTCCAGCTCTCCACGATCGTTTTTGAAAAGTTTTGAATTTTTTAAGGTTTTGCCCTAACTCCTAAAAGGAACTCAGTTCTTTAAATTTTGTAAGTTGTTCTGTACTCTTCGGTGCCTTCCAAAATTTTCCTTATGCATAGTTTGACAGAGCAAAGCGTTATCTTCATAATGAGACGCCTTCCAGCTTTTCCACTAGTTTTTGGACGAGATATAAGCATAGTGGCAAATACTCTCTCACTGTGAATCAAATGATACTTGTGATATGACATGCTTTTTTTTCCCAATGGAATAAAATTCCAGGGGGTGTGAAGCAAGACCATTTGAAAGGTGAGATTTCTAAAAATACTCTTAAACCAATCTAACTGTAAAGTTCACGACGGCCTCAAAAGAAGCACAAACGACTGTTACATAGGCTCTGAAAATAACAAGTAACTGATTTATACAAAATTTATATTTCAGTGGTATTCGACAAGAAAAATGTGGTCAACCTGAATAATAATGCTTCACCGTTCGTTGTTTTGGCTGCAGGCGCAGGTAAAATTGACTGACGTTACTTTTGCTCCACATATACAAAAAAGAGCTATTTATCTTGATGATTTGATTTATTTCTACTGCAGTAATTGAACCTGCATCCAACACAGAACGTTCTCAGGTAAAATATGAATGTATTTTCTTTTTTCTTGAATATGACACTTGTTATTCTGTTTCTTTTGTCCTTGGAGGGTCAAATGAATGATGTGGATGAAACAGAAGGTTAGCTCATTGATCAATTATCACGATAAAGCAAAAGTTCTAAATTTATACTTTGTAGCGTGGGATATGTCCGGCTGTCAAGAACAGTCAAATTCTGATCTGTCTTACAACTCCATTTCTGAACAGCCCATTGATGATGCAGAGGCTTGATAAATTGCAAGGTCAGATGATTACGCGGTAATGTAAAACTAAGCTTCATTTTTTCAGTTGTTGTCTTGCTGAGAACAAAAATAACTAACTGTCGTACATGTATCTAGTGTATGAATATCACACATTTTATGTTGTCTTGCTGGTGAATTCGACATTTGCCTGATCAGTGTTGTCTTGATTTGAGAATGTTGTTTTTCTTGATAGAACATGTATGACATTCAATATTCAAAGTCTGAAAAAAGTGCGCTTAGTCGAATTTCGCTTTTTTCACTCTCACTGAAAATCTCTTACTTGCAGCGAATTCATCGATTTACGAATTACAAAAAATGTGGCTTATAGTTCAGTAGGGATGTTTGCTTTAGTTATCGTATATTTAGTGTCACAAAATGAGTATATTTTTTAGAAAGCTGTATAGTTTCTCCGAGAGATAATTAATTGTCATGTGATTCACTTCATAGTGGATAGAACATATGACACGGTACTGAATCAGCTGATAGGGAATATAGGAATTCTTCTTCAAGTCAGGCTCTTAAGAGTTTGTAGATGTTCTAATTTCGTCGGTTTACTGTCTCACTTACGAGGGAACCTCCCCAGGTGTTCCCCTCAAATTTCAATGGAATTTCGTCAGAAGATGGCATATAGTGCCCTGATAAAAACCCTAAAAGGATTTGAGTTGAGAGTTATTCCTTCAAGAGTTATGCCTATTTTACTGGATTTCAGACATTATGGAGCCCACATGCCTGGATAAGTAAACGTACGAATTTGGATCCGAAATTATCATAATAGATAACTCTGATGACACTTATACTACCCTGAAAATTTCAGCCTGAAATAATGTTCCTTTCTTGAGATACTGAATTTTTGACAAAACTCCCCTTTTATCACACATCCGTGGGTAATCACTGTTTTGTCAAAAATTCAATATCTCAAGAAAGGAACATTATTTTAGGCTGAAATTTTCAGGGTAGTATAAGTGTCATCAGAGTTATCTATTATGATAATTTCGGATCCAAATTCGTACGTTTACTTATCAAGGCATGTGGGCTCCATAATGTCTGAAATCCAGTAAAATAGGTATAACTCTTGAAGGAATAACTCTCAACTCAAATCCTTTTAGGGTTTTTATCAGGGCACTATATGCCATCTTCTAACGAAATTCCATTGAAATCTGTGGGGGACACCTGGGGAGGTTCCCTCGTTAGTCCGCTTTCCAATCTATGCTCAGCATAGTTCCACCTAGTTTTCTTTAAGTCGACTGACCGAAACTTAGAGAAGCTTACTCTGTTCCACTACAAAAAATTCTTCTTTCGTCCACATCCTACTTTCTGCTTCGATTCAGCCACTCGTACTCAGCTGCCACTAATCGTACAGATTTGGGAAAAACATCATTCGAGAGTGCAAGAGAGATAGATGAAACAGCTGAAGTTATTTTTTCGATATATATTTTAGTTATTAAGGTGGATCAGGCTGAATTTGTGTTGTTATTGCTTGTGTTTCTCCTTGTATTGGTGGTGGCATCGTCTCACCTCTGCGGCTGGTTACTAGGTTCACTGGCAATGTAGATGGTAATAACGGTGGTATTTGCTGTCGATGCATTTTCATCGAAACAATTGATGTAACCATGTGTTGCATAGCAGATGACAGTGCATGAACAATTGTATACGTCATTTTTTCTATTAATTCTTCAATCATTTCATTATTATTACTATTGTGATGATTTCCACGTTGGTATTTGGTAGCTGTTCAATGATCAAATTGTAAATAAGGAAAGTCATCGCCATTCATATTAGGTTTTTGTTTTATTGGTGTTGTATATTCTTCAATTGTTTTTTAATTTTCTCTTTATGTCTTAAATATTCTTTACATTGTTTTGGTGTTGTCATATGTTGTTCGCCACAATTTATGCATTTAACATCTGTACTTGTACAAATGTTTGCTTCATGTGGACCACTGCATTTATTACATATTTCAACATTTTTGCAATATTCTGCTGGATGTCCAAATTTACAATATTTGTAGCACTGAACGGGTTGTATATTTGGTTTAGCCGGTTCAGCATCATAATGCAAATAATCACTTTTTAATCCGGTTTTTAAAAATGTTTCACAGTTTAATTTATCAACAAAAATAACGTTTATTGTTTTTGTTGGTTTATTATCTTTTTTAACATAAATGCGTTCAGCACTGTCAAATTTAAATCCATTTATTGTTAATGCATGCTTGATTTTGTCAACTGAAAAATCTTGGTCAACATGTTTTATAAAGGCAACTTTTCCTGTATCCAACACTGATTTGATGTTACTTGGAACATAGACTTTAGTACCATGTTTTTCACTTAGAAATGAATCCTTCGGAAAAGATGTTAATAGCTGATTATATGTTTTTGTATCTGATGGTTGGATAATAAATAAATTATGTTTTTTTTGAATATGTTCTCGATTTTTGCGTCAGGCATTTTATTTTTCAGGATTTTCTTTAATAGTATTATATTTACATTTGGAATGCCTTTAACGGTAATTGGTGCTATTTTGAATTCTTTTTTTGGGGTTGTTGCTTGTTGTCTCTGCTGCCTCTGGTCTTCTGAAGCTTCGGAGCGCCCTCTTTTCCTGTTTGGGTTTCCTCTTCCATTTCAATGTTATCCAACTTATTTTATTTTTTTTATCTTAATTAACGGACTAAGTCGAAGCTGAATGGGGTGAAAGTAACTCAAGGAGACATATTCTGATTAGTTTCGAGCGTTGCCTAGCAATATTCTTCTTTGTTTCCACGCTGTGTTTTCGTGTTCGAGTCAGACACTCGTTCTCGGTTATCTCCGATCGTACAGATTTCGCAAAAGATGATTCGAAAGTAGAGAAGTGGAAGATGACACATTACATACAGTTTTTCTGGGTATTTGCTTTAGTTATCGTATATTTAGTGTCGCAAAATGAGTATATTTTTTAGAAAGCTGTATAATTTCTCTGAGAGATAATTTATTAGTAAAATATATGACACGATAAGCTGATATAGGAATGCAAGAATTCTCCTTGAAAATAGTTAAACTGTTATGAGTTTATAGATGTTCTAATTTCATACCGTTTCACTTAGTCGACTTTTCAATCTTCCCGAAAGATTAGTTGGCATCTAGTTTTCTTTTCGTTTTCTTCTTAAGAGTGCTACAGGGCTATTTATTTAATAAATTGTTAAATGTTTTGTTCTATTTTTTTTAGGGGAAATAATAAACAATATTTTGAACAAACAGTTGCAATTGTATGTTTAGATACAATTGGAATTTATCATATAACAAAACAATATGGTGCTTTATAACAATTTTCAACATTACAATTGTTTTTCTTTTTCTTTTTGATGTGTGATTTACTTTTTCTGTTTGGTTACTTTTTATTGTTTTATTTGATTTAATTTGATTTCTATTCACGCGAAATATTTATTTCCTATGCAACATATGCAGGTGGTAGTTTCACATTGATTTATCCATAGATCAATTTTCCTAGTTGTCCAGTTTCAGAAACTGAAAACTGCCAATCTGACTTTTTCCACTCAAATTTTGTTCAAAAACTTTTTCGTGCCATCGTAATTGTTGAAAATCGATATGATTTTCTGCGCATTGTCATATTTACGATGAACTTCAACAATTGCCGAAAATCTTACGGAATTTTGACAGTAATTTCAGTTGCACTTGAAGTAAAATTTATAATAGTATACAGCGGGCAGTCCGGTCTCATAGTCCGAACGTTTAAACAAAAATAAAAATTTCAAAATCATTGGACAAAAGACAACTGTATAATGTCTGTGCAATTTACTCATATATTCATAAACTATCCTCTTTCTGTTGGTGTATTATCCCTGAAACTATGAACTATAGTGTTTACAGATAAATCCATTTTTATTTTAACGGAATGGCTATTGCCACCATCAGAGGTGTCACCAAGGAGCTATTGTCACCTACAGAAGGTGTCAATAACGGCTATTGCCGCCTTCAGGCACAATAGTAAACTAGAAGGTGGTAATAGCCGTTACTGATACCTTCGGACATAGTAGCAAGCTAGGTGGTGGCAATAGACGTCAGTGGCAGTTTCTGAAGGTGGCAATAGCTCCTTCGTGACACCTCTAGAGGTGGCAATAACAACTTACATCAGTGTCAATATTTATGTTTGTTGATTGAGAAGTCTGAATAAGGATTGATCCTTATTATGATTGAAAATTGCAAATGAACAAAAACAACATGATTTGAAAGCATACAAATGTTATGCACAGAAAATTATAAATTAAAAAATTCATTATCTGTGTCGTTGATATCATCGTCTTCTTCTCAAATTGGTCGTTACTTTGTTTGGATTAAACATTTTATTCATTTTTGTGTACATCATAAACATCCCGGTAAAATAAAGACGCAACATACTGGCGAACATGGATGCAGTCGTAAAGGCCACGGGTTGTTTACAAGCCCCTTTAAAAGTTCTGATGAAGATAACCCCCCTCACCGTTGTTGTACTTAGAGCCTTTTAAATATCACGATAAACAGAAAACATTGATAAACAGGAATAAACACTTACTCTCGTTGTAATTGTGGGAATGGTATCATGCGTTGTGGTTGGCGTGCTTGAATGACTTGAATCCCAAATTGTCTAATTCCAAAAACTGAAAACTAAATATACAGATTTAACGCATGTTTCTCAATGCGAAAAATAACAAAAAAAGAATCATTATGTTAGTGTGTTTGATTCATAATTAATTCTGGTCTTGATTCGGGCCCACAGAAAGCTGTACCAAATGATGCTCCCGAATCAAATGTTATATAACAGAGAACATCAGGCAACCGGTTTGAATTTCGAACGATAAACAAAATTATCTGATTTGTATACAAAACGTAACAAACAAAACAACGACATAAAGCAGTCTTTTGCTTGCCGATACACACTTCGATTCGACTGATGATTTTGCTCAAATCATTGATCTTGGAATTCCGGCGATGTTCTTTCCAACGAGCGATAGAAATACAACGTCGACGTATCTTCTTCTTTCCTTTTTCTTTCTGATTTTCCTCTACGCACTGCTGTGGCTCTTTTTCCCTCATACGCGACAAAAGAGCCAGGTAGAATGAGAGCAGCAGAATGAGTTGAAAATTTTCAGATATACCCAACATTCCCCTGGAAAATTACATTTTGAACGTTCGGTTACTGTTAATCGAGTAAATTTGAAAAATGATGCTGAAATGTAAGGCGCCGGTAATTCAAAGTTCGAACACTTTTTAGTTTTCGTTTAAACGAACATATTCGGATTCGTCGCAAGCTGCTGGTTCCGAATCTGGCTTTATTTTTGATTTAAACAAAGTTTTGACGAAGAAAAATGGAAAATACTAACAAACTATCAAAAATTTGAAAACCTATCTTTTCCAAAAAACTTTCCCAAAAATTTTGCTTTTCATTTTATGGAATTTTCGACGTGATATTCGGATTCCTCATGAAAATGAGCCTAGAAAAGTTGTCTTAAGCTCGATCGCATATTACGTCCTCCCTACACAAATTCAAGCGGCCTAAACCCTTCGTTTGCACGACCGAAAATGGCAAAGCCTACTAGGTTTTTTGCTGAAGACCTAGAGACTCCATTCTTGCGCCAAATAAACCGTCTTTCGATGCGCAACAAAGTTATAGCCTTTGATTTTTTAAAATTTTGTTTTGTTGCTGAGAAAACTCATTTTTTCTAAATAAGAGGCGAAGAACTCAGAATTCTGATCGTAATTTCCAATTTTTTCCATCAAAACTCAACTTTTCAGCGATTAAAATATCATACTCGGAATCAGAATCAAAAACTGAGTTGATTGATATGTATTTCGCCAGTTTCAGTTGACTTTCAATTTTGAGTGAAAATCTCGGTAATTTTCAAGGTGCACGTTGAAACCCACGACGATGATTACGACAGCCGTAAACGGCCGTATACTACAGTTTACGATGAATGATACTGCAGTATAAGTCAAAATACGACGCTGTTTACGACGAAATACGATGACGTCTACCGTGGAGAAGGTTTACGACGTCGTATCTTGTCTGGAATGGATGCGACCGTTTACTATGGGATACATCAAAATACGACGTCATATACGGTCGTTTTTCGTCGTATACTGCTAATTTTCAGCCAGCTTTTGTATTTCGTTCGCTTCCTCGCCTTTCCTTCAGTTCTTTTGCTTTTGATTCTAATACTGGAAAAAGGTCGGCACTACCAGTGCGGATGCTATGTTTCACCGGTCCGCACTAGTCCCACATTTTTCTAGTCACCGTTTTGTTATCTACGATTGATTCCACTATGTTTTACTCAGACTTTTCTTCGAGAACATAATGCAATCAAATTTGAGTTCAAAAGTTGAAATCAAAACTTGTACATAGTAGTTTTATTAACACGCCCTTTGTCATAATCATATTAATAGTTTTTTCTCATATATTTCTCAATTACGGCTTGCCGTATAACTGGCATTGGGTCTAAGAATACAAGTGAGAGCGGTTAAATGTTTTATAGTTTGCCTGTGAGTTTTATCGCAAGGTAACGTTTGCCATATGTGAAGAAAACATCCAGGCTTGGATTTTCAGATTGTATATCGGTATGTATTATCGCAAGGATCAGTCCGTTATTAGACCCGAACTGATCATGGCTACATCCTGAAAGTCACTAACAGCAATGCGATATTACACCGCGGATACTCACAATTGTTATAACGTCAATCTTTCATACATTTCTCACCACTTGCAGTTTTATTTTGAGATCTTTATACATGGAGACAAACCTTGAGGTATGTGCTTGCTCATATGCTCATATGCAAAATATAATGAACAGTGTTAGCCAATCGAGGATGGACTTCAAAATAAGACCTAATTGTTTACGTTTAGAAACGTATTATATACTAAACGCATCCAGGCGGACATTAGATGAAAAAACGAAAGTCGACTTTTCATTGATTCAAATAGCGATAAATATACTGCGAAACATGCTGTATCTGATGGCATAAAAAGTTTTGTTATAAAGCTATGGAGCGTGGAAAATCAACCAATCAAAAAATCAGCCTGAAAACAGTAGTATCTGTGAGAAAATGAAATTTTTACAAAACTGAACAAACTGGTAAGCAAATAAAGTGTAGATTCCGAATCTGCACATCGTTTACTATCAATTAGTAAAAAATTTCTTAATTTCGACTTGATATTGTGGAGAAAAAAATAAAGGTTTTTCCTAAATGGTTTTTCGAACACCTGTTTTCAGTGAAATGACACATCGAACGATGTGAGATTAGTAGGTTTCTCTGAGCAAAAACTTGTTGGATCTAACGAAACGCTAAAGTCGAAGCATAGCGTGACAATTTGGCTAAGGATTTTGATGGCTATAAAAGCAATCCGAAAGCCTACAAACACTTTTTTTATAGGTTTTCAGATATGCTCTTTCCAATGACGCGCTTCATAAAGTTCAGGAATACTTATGTGTAGGTTTTCTAGAGATCCGATCTCTGGAGAACCTAGATGAAAGTTTCTTTGGACTTTGTAAAGCACACCGCTGGAAAGAGCATATCTGAAAACCTATAAAAGAAGTTTTTATAAACTTTCGGACTGCTTCTATAGCACATGGAAAAATGCACACTGTGGCCCCCAAGTGCGAACCATCAAAGAAGGACATGACCTTCTATTCTGGGAGCGGAGGGTAGTTTCTTATTCTGCGTTAAACTCGATTCCTATCTGTAACCAGGTTATCCAGGATCCGCTCATAAAATCTTTTTGAAATTAGAAAAAAACCGTTTGGGAGCATTATGTAAGTCAATGTATATATAATCGCATCGAGTGAACATATGCATTTGCATATGCAGCGCATGGCTCTGCATGAATAACAGATATGTCATTATCTAAATAAATCTAGACTAGAGATGTGCAGGGCGGCCTTACCCTACCCTACACTGCATGATAGCGTAGGGCTTTGTTTGACAAAGCCCTAGGATTACACTTTAGGACGTATCACTTAAGATCACCTGGAACCCCAGGGTAGGTGTGTTTTACTTGGCTAAAATCAACATCGAAATGAGATTTGTGGAAGCAAACCAGTCTATATGTTATTTGGAAAGACAATAGCCCGAAAACAACCGAGTCGAGAAGTTAATCCAAGAACTTCATGCACGATTTAATACTAAAGTGTTGGTAGTAGTAGTATTTTTTGACGTGAAATCACAGAATAAAATATTTCGCACACCATGCTGAACTGAAATATGGATAAGTGGTATGCACCAGCGTGTTGATAGTCAGACTTTCACGTAGTAAAGCCACGATCGACTTCAAATCAGAGTTTCGTAAAGCAAAGATACAACTATGTGGCAAAAGCTTAGCTATGAATACCTGGTGAAAACAGTCATTTTTGTTGAGGTAGCGCATTTTCCAAAGTCACTAATGTATTATGAATTCCTTTTTTCCATTTTTATTTTTCTTTATTTATAAGAAGAGCTATTTCACTCAAGCAGAAGAATAAAAAAAAATGAATCAGACGTTGTGTGAAACGGATGAAGTTGTGCATGGCTGCATATCAACAGTACCTGTTTTAGAATGATTTTTCTCAGAATATTAATGTAAGATTTTTCTTTCTTACAAAGCAAAACGGTATCGTAGAGACAAATTTGTCGATTTCGCAGAGAAAATAAAAAGTAAGGCGCTTGATGGAGAAAAAAATATATATTTTCATTTATTACCCGTAGTAATTTTTTGTTTTATTCTCCTTTTCATATTTTATGTTTATGATAGTAATACAAAAAATCTTTATAACATGAAAAGAGTTATTCTTCTAGACATATATATGTTCTTTCAACCTACATCCTCAGACAACGGTTATATCTGGCAAATAAGTGTAAACAATTCTCTGCGGGTATCATTCATGGAGTTTTCTATGATCCTCTCATAAAAGCTTCTTAAAATCAGAAAAAGAAGTTAGGAAGCATTAGTACATCAATATATCTGTAATCACTCATCGTGGTCATAACCTATTTTACTCCTTCTTATCGTTAACCGCCTCCTTCGTAAGTATTACTGCTTGCCGCTTTGTCCATTGAAAGTCGTTATTTTATACTAATATTTCATTAGCTGAGCCATTTCTGACATTTTTGTTTTTTTCTTGATTAATAATGAATGCGTCAATCTACAAAAAATATTTTGGAAAACTAACAGAATAAGTAAAAGTCACTCAACAAATAAAATAGTTTAAAGTCATAGATACTCTTTCTTCTCCCAAAAACGAGATTTTTGTGTTATAAAACATCTTGGCAAAGTGTGTAAAGTGCATATGATAATTTTTCGACAAAGAATCATTGATAATGGTTTACTGTGGCAGTGTGTCTCAAATAAAAGTTTTTATAACATAGGTGTTTTTTATAGTAATATGTGCAATTTAATAAAAAACTTCATTTTCCTTCACATCTCTTCGGTTTCTTTTGTTCCGCTTTTACATCATTGTTCTCTATTAATTTTCAAAGCAATTTCAATCTGCAGTATAAAAAGTGACAGAAAGAAAAACGAACCGAGAGATTCTCAGTTCCTCAAATGACAAATAAGTTTTTCTCTTTCGTAAAGCTTTTAGCCTAACAATAATATCACAATCATTTTGACTTGAATGAATAATTAGGTTCCAAATTGAAATAGTTCGAGATTTCAATGGATAAATATATTAAACAGTATCTATAAAGGAAGCATTGCTAGAAGAATGAACTACGACCTTCGTTATTCACGTACAATGCGGTACATTATCTACATTGAAAGAAATATGATGTTCCAGAGTTAATCTTGCATCTGATAGTATCGGTTTTTTGGGAGTTATTCGTAGAAAGGTTTTCTTCCTTCTTAGTGCTTCTGCCAAAGAACTATAACTTTTAGAGAAAAAAAGAAGAGAGTGCTCTCAAAAGATACGAGTTCTTTAGTTCCGCGTTTTAACATAATCCCTTCCCCCAGACTAGAAGGCTAGTTTGGGGCGAAAATTTTTGGAAAACGCCCCGTAGGGCAGTTTTTCACCAAGAAAAGTGCGATGTGCGTAACCATCATAGAAGGCCATGGCCTTCTATTCTGGCAGAGGGTGCGTTTAGTCAATCTGTTAAAACTTGATGCTAAAAGACGACTTCAATTTTACTGACATTCCAATAGTACTTTATCATCTTCTGATGACTTGCAAGGCGGAATTGAGTCAGTTAAAACCTCGTCACATTCCAGACCATGTTGTTCATGACGTGTAATACTTTCGAAACAAGCTTGCGAAAATTTTGAAAAGCCGATCATCTGACCAATCCTATCCACTTGGGTTTTTCAATCGGATGGTCTTTTATTCAAGGTGAGTGGCTTTTTCCTTCTGAATATATAGTGACAATGATTTTCAAAGAGTCAAAGAATGTGCCAACATCCTTGGTTAAATTGATCAAAAGTAACGGTAGTCACTATTGTCTCAGCGATAAAAAGAAATTAATAGGTGCATCATTTGATTTGAAAAGGCATTTGATAAAGTTCTGCATCAAACTTTCTCAGGAAAATTATCACATGCTGGAATTCGTGAAGAGCTATACAATTGGTTTGCATCTTATTTGCCTAATCGATCACAAGTAGTTTCCATACAATCTGCTCTCTCCAAAAGAGCAACCGTTACTTCAGGAGTGCCGCAGGGTAATATTTTAGGTCCAGTTCTCTTTTTGATCTTCATCAATGATCTTCCGACTTCTGTGGGAACCTCAAAACTGACTTGTCTTTTCGCCGACGGTGTCTTCTGTGTCATGGATCTTGAAAATGCAAATTTAAGCGCAGCTCAAGAATGTATGAAAAATATGTCCGAGTGGTGTAAGAGCATGCTGGTAAAAATTAACTCTAATAAATGCCAATGGATTGTTTTCTCTACTGTTCTTTTCAGTATAAATAAGTTAGGTAAACTGAAACTAAATGGCATTTCAGTTGAGAACGTTTCTTCTTTAAAATTGCTTGGAGCCCATCTTATTCACAACCTAACTTGAAAAGAACATATAAATCAAACGGCTGCTAAATGCAGAAGGATGTTAGGTTTTATTTCTAGAGTGTACGGCACCGCACCACTACATCTCCGTCTTTAGCTTCACGAAGTATGTATCAGGCCGGTTCTTGAATATGCTTGTATTCTTTACGACAGTTTATTTAAATCATATCTGTCTATTTTGAATCACATGCAGCGTTTGGGTGCCAGAGTTATGATGAAGGACTATTCGATCGACCTGGTAGCACTTCATTTCGAATTAAAACTTTGTTGTCTCGAAAATCGAAGGCTCTATTTCAAACTCATTCATTTACATAAAATTTTCTGTGGCAGAATCACATCTTAATCTCATTGCATCTTCTCATAATCGGAAATCTACGAGTTTTGGGCATGATGGATAGGTTATTATTATACATTTTTCCATAAAAGCCTCATCTTCTTTCTTATCCCTCATCTCTAAGCAGTGGAATGGTCTTCCTCCCTCAATAGCACATACGGCCAGTTTAAAGGTATTTCAAATGCTTCTCAAAAATCATGCAAATTACTTTTAGTATGTTCTTGCTCTTCCTGCTATTCTTGTGGTACATAAGGACTATTGTTGTTCTTTCTCTTTTTCTCTCACTATATTTTGATTTATCTTTTCTCTCTTACTATTGGTAACAGTGCCACTTATGTAAGTGAAATTTTCTTTTTTGCTTGTCACAAGTAAAAAAGAAAATAGTCACTAAACAGTCAGTGTCTGTTTAGTGACTATGTAACATCACATCGTTAGTCAAAATACATTCAATTCAATTCAATTTATCTGTTAGTGAAAAACCGTAATAATCAAATAAATTGTTCTGCGTATGAAATTTTAATCTAACTATTTAAAAAAATACATCATTCTATGTGCTTTTAAAAAAACAAGAATTAAACGAAATGAGAGTGCTGTTGTTTTTTATTTGCATCGAAACTTGAAAATTCATTAGTCATTTGTGGTTCTTCTCTCTCGCTCTCTCTCTCTCCGTCGCTTCTTGTAGTTCAGGCAGAAATTTGGAACTCCTTCTTCTTACATACAGCTATGCTAAAAAATGTGTGAAATTATTTAGCATTAACATCAATATGGGTCGACATGGTTTACACGCTGTTCATTCTGACGCTTGGGAGAAACACCATGAACTGCCTGTGCATGGTATTCGTTCAAATCACCAAATGTCCCGTTTGATCACAAAATTACGTACATTACAATCACCGAATGAACGTCTTCAGCAATTAGTTTATGAAATGAAAATTTCAGTTCAGCTGTTTAGTGGTGAACAACTTCTTCAACTGGCACCTTATTTTCGTGAAATAGAATTAATTCTTGCTCTTCACTTATTTGACCATCATTTATTCGGATTAAAATGTGAACAAGCTCAACGTCTGTTACAAATGATTGTCAATTATGAACAACGTTTAGAAGCACTAGAAGTGATTCAAGAATATATAATCGATCCGATAAATCGTTCAAGATTACAACAACTATTTCCGTCATATTTACTCCCTCAAGTTAATGAATGTTTGACCAATATACGTGGTCAATCACATGTTTATGGTTCCATCCGTAGTCAACGTGTGATTTTCCTTATAGATACAAGTGGAAGTATGAGTACAGAGTTTTATACCAATTGTGGTGAAATGTTTAATCGATTAGAATTTATTGTTCATGATATGCACAAAATTCTACATCATCGTGCATCATTAAATATGAAATTTAATTTAATTTGTTTTGGTACACATGTCCATAAATGGAAGACTCATTTAACATCGGCCAATATTCATCATTTGAAACAAGCTGAACATTTTTTAGATCATTTAGAAGCACACGGACAAACCAATACACACGATGCACTACGTCAAGCAATATTGGATGACAGAGAAGTGGATACAATATATTTATTATCCGACGGTGAGCCCACAACAGACATGCGAACAATTTTATTGGATTTACGACAATGGTTAGAGCAACATCCTGTGACAATACATACCGTTGCATTTCTGATGGGACATGATCGTGATGATCCCAAACCACGACAATTCATGGCTGATATTGCTTCAATTAGCGGTGGTGTTTTTCGATGTCTAGACCCTTATACACTTTCGAATCAGGAATTCAACAGCACTCGAGAGACATACGATGAGAATCCAAATTTTCAAGATGATGGATTTGTTCGATTTTTTCGTCAAAAATTAAAAGATGTTCCATCAAATTTACTAGAAAATATTGATCTTAATCAAATAGATTTACTTATAGATCTTCCTCATCCAACTCCACCTGATTTCAGTACACAGCTAAAATCTCGATCTCGACCTGCAACGGAAATCTCCATTCTTTCATTTCATATCGATTCCCATAACCATTATACATTTGACATTCATTTACACCTTCAACAAATTATCAACTGTCAATGGACAGTCAGTCGTACGTATAAAGAATTTAAATATTTACATCAGCAGTTAGAACGACGAATAGGTTCGATTAATTTACCCCAGTTACCACATGATAGTCATCTTCATCTCGGAAAACAATGTGGACAATTCATGGAAGAACGCCGAAAAGAATTGGATACGTATATTAAACAATTATATGTTTATGTATCACCGCATGATTATCCCGAGTTTGATCTTTTTCTTTTAATGGAATTACATACGAATCAGATTATCCAACAGAAACAAATTGAATGGATGACACAACACCAAAATACTCTACCATTAGCACCATATGAGTCAATACCGCCGCCTTATGAAACATTATATTAGAAATAAAAATTCGTCACGTTTAACATCTTTTGCTTTATACGATCAAAAAAATAAACTACTACTAACTATTCCGCGCTTATAGAAAAGAATGAATGGAGCCGATTTAAGACTAAAGCTTTAGAATGATTGTAATTGTAACAGCACCTGTCCTGAATCTCATTTTCATTTATAAATATTTTAAGATTTGTGCATTTATGTCGACGTTTCAATAAAACATTTTGACATTCGCAAGAAAATAAACCGTCGGAGCATACAAAGACAACTGCAAATATGAAGTTTATTGTACATGTAGACAGTAAAAACAGATAAAATTGTGAAATTACTCCCCAAGCAAAAAAAATGCAGCTAGAACCGAATGGTTGGAGCTAGGTAACACGGTTTTCTACCCGGTTAAGCTAGTTCCACCTCAAAAAGTTTAACCTAGGATCGGGCGGTTCAACCTATTTTTGAGTGGTTGAGGAGGTTATCATCTAGGTTAACCGACCGATTCAGCTAGCTCTGTCTGATCTAGCTCCAACCGCCCACTTAACCAACCAGTCAAGCTAGTTCCTGGTATCAAATAGATTAAACATAAGAAGGCTATCAGCTAGGTTCTTACATCGTACTCATCCTCTTTTCCTCAATTTTCCTCCCCTTTTTGATATAAGCTTTATTCTTTCAGAATACAAGTATTCTGCATTCTGAAAGAATAAAGCTTATATCGAAAGGAGGGGAAATTTTAATTTAGAAAAAAACTGAGGAAAGGAAGACGAGTACAATGCAAGGTTAAATCCTTTGCTTTTTAGGAGTCGAGCATTTAGCCGAATTTTTAAAACCGTAACTCTAAACGCAAGAACACTTGAAGAAACTTATACATCAATTTGATTACGAATAGTAAGAAAGCAGAAAAGTACAATCCTTTTGCAGATTCGAAGCTGCGAGACAGTTATATTTTTCTGCTTCTCGTATTTTCACCTTTTCGAGAGTTGTGTCTCGAACATAAAATGTGGTAAATTTAATTTTCTAAATTTTATGTGTTGGACCAGATTTTAAGAAACCGTTCTTCATGGTGAAAAACAGTAAATACCGTTTTCCTTCGTGAAGAACGATTTGAACAAAGTTGAGCCCGGCAGATAAAATTTAGGAAATTAAAGTTACTACATTTTTGCCGTTAGTTTCAACTTTAGAAAACTTTTCCTTTATCGTGAAAATTAATACAGACCAAAAAGGCGGCGTTTGTGATTTCTCACGATGAAGGAAGAGTTTTCGAAAGTAAGATGTCGAGACAAAAATGGACGACAGCAGATAAGGGTCAACATTTTTCTTTAACTAATCGGACCAAAAGACATATATTCTGAATCAGCGTCGAATTCTGAACAAAACTCTCGATTCAGTTTTTCGAAATACTGACTTTAGGTTTTGTCGAAAATTGTGGGCCTCGAGGTGGACCTCAGGAAGATGGGAACAATGTTTTCTCAAAATTGAACAAAAGATACATCATTCGACGCAGAAGTATGTGCTGAGTCCGAACCAAAGATCAAAAACCGGGAAAACCCAAGTTTGACCAAAGGAAACGACATTTACTGGCAAATGGTCAAAATTGGTCACCACGGTTTTTCGCTTTCGCTGGTCTCAGCCAAGCGATTCAGAACCTTCAAAGTTAGTGTTTTGAGACCGCTACAACGCCAGCTCTTAGGTGGTATGTTCAGAAGTTGGAGAAAATGTAGTTTTTCCGAAAAAATAGATCAAAAATGTGAAAAAAACCACGAAAAAACGCGGTTTTTGAAAAATATTTTGGACATAGCGTCTCGGAGAGGTCGAGGTGCAGTTCAAAACGCATGCACTCCTACTCAGTTTTGAATGGTGAATCCAAGTATAATCAGCAAAATGCTTTAAGAGGAAGCAGTTTTTTGAAAAACGCTTTCCTAGCTCGTTTCTGGAAAAATTTCTGATTATATTTGGATTCTTCATTCGAAACTGAGTAGGAGCGCATGTGTTTTGAACTGCGCCTCGGCCTCTCCGACTCCAAAAAGACTCCAGTCAAATCTGTTCCGACTTCATATGAATGCGACGATTACGTTAATGACCGTCTTTTACCGTTCGAACGCGATATACTTACATAAGAAGTCCAAACAGATTTGGCTGGAGTTATTTTGTAGACGAGTTGAAGAAAAATCTTTTTTGCACATTACTTATAATCATAACATTGTGACTAATATAGAATATCTCTGCTCAGATCTGCTCCGTTACTGAGATAGAAGATATTATTTGTAAAAACTGGCCATTATTCATTGCTCCGAAGGCAAGATTGTAACTATATTACTTAGGCAGCTATAACTTTATAAAAGAGGTTTCCATAGACGAAGAACGTACGCAAGTTTTGGACTTTTTCCACTTTGAACTGTCAGACAAAGGGTTATGATTAACACGAAAGTTACTTTTGTTGTTTATAATGATCACGTCATGTCTTCTTCGAGTAATACTTAGTTACTTACAAAGTTACATGGTTGAGTGAATGAGTGGAAAATAGGCAGCGTTATCTGTGATAAATCGATGTGTGATAAGTGTATTTTTCGAGCAGTTGATTATAACAAGAATTTTAATAGAAGAATGTCAATAACAAATCCAAACTACAAGTTTAGGGAAAAATGGTGTGTAATTTAGAAAATCAATTTGATTCAACGTAAATTCAAAAATTAGGTTTAGAATTTTTAGTACAGTCGCATGCCAACGTCTTGTCGCTCGTTTTAGAGAGTTGCCACACAGTGTCCTATGTGGCAACTTAGATGATGGGAGACTAGAGGCTAGACACTTTCTCTCACAATATATAGATCACTGAGAGAAGACTCATACCGAGGAAAAATTGATGAACTGATGACTCAGAACTAATCCATCGTATTACTAATTTTTACTAAATCAAAGGCGAAAAGTCAGAATTCTGCTGATAATTCTCAATCAACTGAACTTTTAAGGGGCCCCTCCCTTAGAATTTGTGATTTTCTGTCAAAAAATCGGTCTTGAGATAAGCATGTAGAAAGATAGCCTGAAGTGTCCACGTTCAGAATCTGTATCGCTATTAGTTACAGAATTGAGTTTTCAGGATTTTGAGCAACTTTTCTAGGAGCGGATTTTGGAGATTGGTGAATGGCTGGAAATCAATAAAGGCTTATCCGAGAAATCGGCGCCGGTCAGTCAATGTAGTTAGCTGTCTAGCTTAAAACAAAACTAACCCGGACTCTGTAGCTTGAAGTATATTAAAAGATCTTGGAAAATACTTCAGGGTCTTTTTTGGACCTTGATCTCTGGAAAACTCCTAAACCGTAAGAGTTGAAGACAAAACCCCTCAAGCAATAAAAATATCATATTCGGAAACGGGATCAAAAGCTGAGTCGACTAATCAGTATTGCGAAATGTTGAGCTAATTTTCAGTTTTCGGCGAAAATCTCGGTAATTTTTTGAAGGAAATATTCAATAACAATTAAAGTAGTCGGATAGAATAAAAATACAGACTAGTCGACTCAGTTTTGATCCTGATTCCGAATATGATATTTTATTTGCTTAAAAGCTGAGTTCTGATTGAGAGAACTGAGTATTACTACCCGTAATTCTCAATTTTCTCAAGTCTAAAGTCAGAGTCTGGCGTTTTCGCCTCTGATTTAGAAAAAATGAATTTTCTTGGCATTGACGCAGATTTTTAAAAAAAGCGAGTCTTACTTTTGAAGCCAAGCTTTCAGCGAATCTAATGACGTGCAAATGACGACTTCAGCCCCTAACACGAAAAATTTAATAGACTTAACAAAATCAATTGTGCGCACTTTAGAACGTGTTTGGAACGTTCATCCTGAGCAAGGTTTTAACTTGGAAATTGATCAAACACCATTTTTCTATTCAATTTTTAATGCGGAATAAGAAAAAAATATTTTGAAATATGCAAAATTGTTGGGAAGGCAGATATTGAGCTTTTCAACTTGAAGAATTTTTCGACTTGTTAGCTTCTTCAGGTATTTTCAAGTTTTAACCCTTATAATGCATAAAATCTGAGATATCTCCTTCTGTATGGATTCAGTTTAAACACAGTGATTGTGTAAGATCTCAAATAAAAATGCACAGAAGTGAGAAAATGCACCCAAAGATTGATGTCTTCACAAATGTGAGTATCGTCGGCGTAAGATCGCCCTCATTCACAGGATGCTAGAATGGTTCTGGCAACGCACTAGTCCTAGCGATAATACGGGTATACATTCTCTGAAACTTCAAGCGTGAATGTTTCGATGCTTCACATACGGCACTCGTAACCTTATTATTAGAACTCACAAGTGAATAAAAGACATCAGTCTTTCTCACTTTTAATTTAAGATCATTTTCAATGATATGTCGAATCAGAATAGTGGAATACAGCGAAGTGGGACTTAGTTTACCTGAGCAAGAAATGTTTCTGAAAAATAAATTCCAAAGCTTATCGAAAATCAGATAGTTCAAGATTATGGCTACGAAGTAGAAAGTATTTCTGTGCATCAGAAGAACAGCGGGTCGAAATTGCTGCGTACTTCCTCTGACTGTGTTAATGTTGGCTTTTCCTTTTCAAATAGAGATTATGACGTGATGGAAGTATGATCCGGTTGACAAAAACATTAAAAATTGATTTCACCATGTTCTCAAAGAAAAGTCCGAGTAAAACATGGTGTAATCAAGCGTAACGAGCTAAAAACCTTCTGCAAAGAGATCGATTAGGCATGAGTTTCTTTAAATATGTATTTGAGAAAAATAGAATACTATACGGTCTCAGTACACAGAAACGGCCTAAAGGAATACCTGGAAATTAATAAATAACTGCCTAAATACGGTATGTTTTACCCTACAAAAGCGGCACGTTAAGGACCTGTACACAAAGTGAAAACGGCCGGAAAACGATACATATACGGCCCGCTAACTTGGCCATTTTGAACGGCCTGGGTTTCATGAAACATGACCAAAAAATGATCCGTAAACGGTCAATAAATGTTTTCTATAAGGGCCGGTAT